TGGAGCATTTTTTTATGTTTTTCAAACATTGGGACCCTTTTTTTTTTTTTTTTTTTTTTTGTTACTGTCTCTTTAAGACCCTCCTCTTCATCCCTCTTCACCTCCATCACTCGGCAAAAGAAATCTGAAGCCTGCTTCAGGACGTCCAGTCGTCTCTCCAGCAGTCGGAGAAGCAGCGACCATCCCTCCCTCAGAGACGCCTTCATCGCCTCGGTCAACTCCTCCATTTCCTCCTGCTTCCTCCTTGCATCCCTCCTCATCCTCAGTTTCTCCTGGTGTTTCTTTTCCACCATAGCCAACACTTCAGGCTCATGCTTCTGCAATAACATATTAACATATCAATAGTAAGATTGCTAATAAGTAATTGTTGATTAATGGTTTACTATATTAAAATTAGTCCAAATTCCTTAACTAATAACATCCGTTTTTAGATTTTAATGCTGTAGTTTGGCCGCCATCCAGCAGAGGGCACTGCTGATCATCATTAACCGGAGCCGTTCTTACAAAGAAATAAAGATGGCGGCCAGACTAGAACAGCAGAGACAGGTGTGCGTTCAAATGCACTTAATACGGTTGATTAAAAACTTACTGATGTGATAGAAAAGTGAGGATATGTGACGAAAGATAAGCGGAGAGAATAATAGAGATAAATTGTAATAAGGAAAAACAACATGATGCTAAAGCGAGGTTGATTTTAAGGGCTGTCGTGAGTCAATGCACTTCATGGAGCGAAGTTTTAACGTTCATTCAAGCAATAGATGCTACTTCTGTATTAATATCTCTCTGTTTATGGGAGATAAAGTTTTTCTCTTATTTCATTCTTTTCAAGTTTCATTTTTCTATCCAGAGATATTAGAGGTTCTTGTTTTGATTTACTTTATATATATTTTTAAGATTAGTAAGGTGAGAAAACTACAACTTTCTGTTTATTCAGTCAGTATTTCGTACAACTGATACAAAATATTAACATTCAACAATATGCTTTATAAAAATTCAGCATATTATGAAGAATTGTGCCCTTTTGTGTAAAAACGGTCGACATCCTCTTGATCACAGAGAAAATTCAGGTTTTTAAGAAATGGCCGCTTATCAATTAATCGTTTGTCGATGTATGAGACCAATCAACTTTAGATTAACTCATTAATCGATATCTTTTATCCCCAACAGAGAGGCAGAGCGCCTCGATCAGAGTGTGTGAGTCCTTGTGGACCTGAAGTTTCTCCAGCAGCTGCTGCTGCTCCTGGATCAGGATGTGGTTTTCCTCCCGGTCCGATCCGATCTCACAGAGTCCAGGCTGGAACTGGACCAGCTGGAGGTGGATCAGAGAGCCGCTCTGCAAACACAAGCCAGAGACATTTTATTCATGACTAGTGTCAACTTCTTCTTTAATACTGACTATTGGCTGGAATAATAAAATCCCAAAAAATAAAGACCAAACAAACAAAACACATAATATCATCCGGTCCAAATCAGAACCAAAAAAAATGTTTGTTCTTCATGTCAAATTAAAAGTTAAGAATTTATTAATCTACATGTTTCATTTTATATTGAAACTGTTTAACAAGTTATTCCATGTTGATATGTTTATCTGTAGTTTGACTGTAAAGTTTTTGATAAAAAAAAAAAAGAAAATCAGGAAAAACTCTGTCCTGTTTCTCTTTAAATCTCCATCTGACCTTACAGTTAGAAGCCCAGGCAGAGAGATGTTGGAGTAGGGGATGAGTAGAGGACAGAGTTGGTTTGAACTTTCTATTTCTCTGCTCTGCATCCATTAAGCTTTCTTTTCAACTCTTCTGGGATTTAGGGTCATAGTTCAAATATATTTGAACTTTTGAGATGATAATTGGCTGTTTGTTGCCATGGTTACAATACAAATCATAACAACTGTACAAAAGTTAAAAAGTAAGAGCAAAAACCCTTCCAGCTAAACAGCATCCAGAGCCAGTGGGAATCCAAACAATCCAGGGGTGATCCCAGGGCGGGGGCAAGGGAGCCAAGGCCCCCTCTTGAAAAGTGCTTGAACCCCCCAAAGAATCATGTTCATTTTATAGAAAGACATACAGAGTCGTCTTATTAACTGAAGAAATAAATGTAAAACCTAATAAATAAACAAATAAATAATATAATTATATAATTTTAAAAAATGTTTAGCTGTGGGCCCTTAAAATAAAAAAATAATTATGAACAAAAGTTTAGATAAAGGACAGATCAGAACTAACAGAGCTACTACAACATGCTGCCATTATGAACAGAGAACAAGGAATCAGAAATCAGATCTTCTTGTTGCGAGGCAACAGAAATATTTTATGTACGGATCAGAAATCAGTATCAATATGAAGCTTTATCAGCTGCGAATCTGAGACGCTGCGGTCTGACTCTGAATCTCTGCACGAGTGTTTGTGTTGGAGCATTCCTCCCTTGATACGGTATCTCTGGCATGTTGTCCAAAAACAGACACAGGGAGATGGTGTTAACACCCACACACACACACACGCACGCACGCACACACAGCTGACCTGGAGCTAAAACAGGAAGTGGCACGTGGAGCGACAGTGTTGGTCTACATGACCTCCACAGGGACCCAGAGAAAACAACCTTTCAGCTAATAGCTCTAATGTCAGAAACTCATTTTTAATTGTTTAAAACATTATAAACTAAAAAATCTACTCAGTTAAAACATTTTAACGTTTAAACTCCCCACTAAAAGAAGTTTCAGTTCTCAGTAAATTAATATATTCTGTCAGCTAAAGACTTTATTTAATGCTTTGCCAGATAAAATGTTTTAATGTTTAAACAAACCAACAAAAACTGTTTTGTATCGTTTCATTTAAAGCAAAATGCTTTCAGTCTTGCTTTCATTCTCTAAACTCTGCTCTAAAATTATCAGCAAATATATTTTTAATTATCTAAATTCACAGCCTGACAGCCAATAGATTTTAACATTTAAAACTGTGAGTCAGCCAGATGCTTTATTTAACTCGGATCTAAAAACACACTGCAAGCTAACAGATTTAAGGTGGACTGGTCTGTCAGTTAATAGTTTTATTTTATAAAAATAACCAAACTAATTCAGGCTTTCAGGAAACGTGCTGATAGTTCGTACCAAGAGGCTTATGGTCATTCAGCAAATGAGTTTAATGTTTTAAAGCTTGAGCTAACGTGACTTTTCAGACAACAGTATTAATATTTAGAAATCAAAATTAAAACTGTCTTTAATTTGATGGGTTTTACATTACACAGCAAGAATATTCAGGTTTTTCTTCTTTCCTTTTTTATATTTTAATACTAGAGTTATAGTCAGTCAGTTTATAACTGAATTGTTTTCAAGCCTGTTTGTCAACTTATTATGATTATTTTCCACTTAAAACTACTGAAAATAATAAAAAAACATTTTAAAACAGAAATGTGGGCTTAATGAAAACTAAGAACTGTTAAAGGTTATTTTAATCTGACAAATGAGCCTCAGTGGAACAATTATTTATTGAGTATTTATACTGTGGAGTTTATAGTCATAGTTTAGGAATTTTGTGTTTTAAAAGCTGAACATTTTTATCCTTTAAGTATGTTACTTTACAGTCCGTTTATATTTTTAAAACTTTAAACTCATATTAAACCTAAACTAAGAAAGTGAATGATTAGTAACAACTTCAGATATAATTTGTCCAATTATTTAGATTTTGGAAACATTAGATGAAGGTTTTTCTCCCTGATTTGTTGTATTTTAACTCGTCTCTGTATATAAATTAAAGGACATTAATTGGACCATGAATGTCTGTATTTCTGTTACCTGGAGGACAGAAGCAACAATCTGGGTCCGGCCGGCCTGGATGGCGATGGAGCTCAGAGTCGTGAAGGACGCTTTGCTGCTGCTGTCCTCTTGTCTCTGACGTCCACATGTCTCTTCACTTTCTTCTGTTTTCTCAGTCGTCATGAGGAAACACTGAAACCAGTCTGTTGCTGGTTGAAGAGAATAAAAATATTCTTCTCTTTCTCCTTGGATTCCTGTTAGTTTGTACTTCAAACATCCATCCTCGTTTCTTGTTTTTGCTCCAATATTTGCAGTCTGTCTGCAGTTGAAGTCAGACTAAACCAGAACCAGTTTCCCAGTATCTCCGGTTCTTGGTTGGTTTTTAAACACTGTTGCCAGAATCTCCTACAGAAACGCACAGAATAAGAATCTTAAAAAGTAAAAGTTGCACTGATTTTGTGGGAAATTGTTAAAAAATAAATAAATAAATTACAATTTCAGGACTGCTTCCTGCTGCTTTAGTTTGTGAAATGATGTTCCCACAAATCTTTCTCCTGCCACAGAAAAATATTTATAATTCTCAAAATCTGATGAAAGTATATGCATCTAACCAGACACTATACACTTACCAACAGAAGAAGCAATGAAATAATGTGAAAATTTAGAGCAGAAAATCAGTCCCAGGTCATGTTTTAACATATTTAACCTGTTTTGGGCTCCATATATGTGCATTCCCATCTGCACATATATCCCTCTGAGAATTACTTCCCAGTAAAAGTCAAACACATTGAGATCAGTCACAGGATTCCTGCAAGACCTCAAAAAGTTATAACATCTTCAGTTTTAGTCTTAAATACGATCAGATCAGACTTCATTCAAGCTTTTTCTAGTTTGTTTACATGCCTGCTGGACTGAGCTACTCTGGCCAGGTGTGCAGCATCAGTTACCATGGCGACAGAGCTCAGAGGAAGTAAAGCAGCATCCTGTTGGATCTTAAGTTGCCTCTCTAATAACAATAACGCAATAAAATCTGTTTTTCTGAGAAAATATTAACGACATAAAATAAAAACTGATTATTATGTAGCAACATTTATCCTAATCTCGCTTTAAACTATATTTGTTTAACATTTATGATCCCACATATCTATGTTACAGGCCTGCAGCTGGTGTCATTTATTACATGTAAACTGAGATTCCAGTTAATTATCACTAAGATCCGCTTACAGCTGCTGGAGCCGCTACTGAACGCAACAAACCCAAAACTTTAAACAGTCCGAGGCCTGAAACCCACGCAGAACACATGGAACACGGTACCTGAGGCTCGGTGCTGCCGGTCCAAACGCTTTCTGGCTGAAAGTGGAACCGGAGTGGTGCGAGGGGAAGCGGGGCTGGAACAGCGAGGAGGGGCGACGGAGGTAAAAATAGACGAGGATTATCAGCGAGCTGAGTGACAGAGAGACATCTGCCTTCCATAAACAAACACTGCGCTCAGTGACACACACACACACACACACACACACACACACACACACACACACACACAGAAAACACACTGTAAACACATCAACGCACAATGAAGACATGAGGAACCAGAACCGAACTCTACTGACTTGGAATAGGGTAACGGAAAAATAAATAAATACTGACTTTTAAAATAAGAATTCTACGACTGCGTATTAGGACCATTGTAAATAGAAAAAATAGGGCTGAATCTCCGTTAAAAAAAAAAAACTCAGAAATTTTCCAGAAAAAAATAAGGACAAGGGTGACATTTGTAAGAAAAAAAATTCAGAAATGTTATTAATCCAAGAAATTTTCTAGAGAAAACACGGACATTTTTGAATTTGAAAGATCAAAATTTTGCTAGGAAAAACTCATAATTTGAGATTAATCTGTTATTTTCTAGTACAATAAACTTGGAAATTTCTGACTTTGAAAAGTTAAAAATATTCTGAGTTCCAAGTCAAAACAATTGACTTGAAACTCAGAAATTTCCAAGTTTTTTTCTAGAAAATATCTGAGATCAATATTTAAATTTTTTTTGGCAGAAATATACTTAAAAAAATTATAATAGGCATACTACAATGATGTAGAATTCTGATCCATTCTGATTTTAATCTCAGTCTCAAATTTATTTAAATTGTTTACGGACAAAATCTAGTAAATCTTCCCAAAAAAATTGGGACTGGATTTCACGGGGGACAAAGTGCATGTTCACAAAATATATAAAATAGAAAGATCATTACGCGACCATTTTCATGTGGTAATAATTGCCGTACACCTAAGAATGGCCTTTTAAAATCAGAATTCTGAGATAAAAAGCCAGAATTCTTTTTGTTTTTAGGCCCCAATGCTCTTCCGTAGGAGTCTGTGTCTAACACCAGCAGACATGAACCAGCTGCAGCTGCTGGCAGGAGGTTAGGCTCTGGTCTCAGGTGGAGCTTCTCTTTTCACTCTGATGATTCACGATGCAGGAAACTGGAAACAAAACAAAAATGTTCTGTGTTGTTGGGACTGGGACAGATGTTTCCAGCTGCAGACAAAAAACAGGTTTGTATCAAACGTTTGGGTCTGTGCTGCAGAGGAAGCTGCAGTTTGAGATCGTTCAGTCATCCATGGTCACATTCAGCTGATAAAACACATTTTAAAACTTTACAAAAGACAAACAATTAAGAAACCCACTATTAGGTCAAAATATTATAAATGACCACATGTAGGTTAAAGATGTGGATAAAACTGTTGATATAATTTCGGAAAAGCAAAATATTGGTTTGGGGTTTTAGGACAACAGAAAAAATTTAATTAAAGCTGAACAAACATGATGATGGGATCCTGAACTTAGCTTTTTTTTGTTTTTGAGTATGAGTAACTGAATCAGAACATTGAGTCGGTCCGGTGCTGAAAGACCCGTCAGTGGTCACCAAGAATGGACCAGAATCAGAGGAACCATTGTTTACTGAGGGAAACTAAACCAGTTGAGAACTGGGATGAGAACTGGACCCAGTTTGGTGGTGATGTCTGCACACTTCCTGAATGAGCTGAAAGTTTGAGTTCAAACCTGAATTTGATGGATTCACTTACTAACACAAAAAAAATGAAAACCACAAACATCCTCACTTATAAAACCTTTGGTTTATTGAGCTGCTTACAAAAAAATAAATAACATTTAAAATAAACAAACAAAAAAAAAACCCAACAAGTATTCAGGTGAGAGTTCGTTAGCTGTAATGTTTGGTCTCGTCTGATTGGTCAACGTTAAATAACGACTCCCTGTAGGCAGAATCTGTCCAATCAGAAATCTAAGCTGCTCAGATATGAAGTCTTTTTGGTCGTGTGCTATGATTGGCTCAGAGACAACCTAAGGTCCTCCTCCCTCAAGCTGCGGTCCAATCGCTGCGTCTCAGACTCCAGGACTGCTGGGATTGGACGGCGTGAGACGGCGTCCAGCGAATTGTTCAGGTCCTGCCTCATCGAGAGCAGCCATTCGCTGTTTCTGGACGACTGCTCAATAAACTCCGCCTTCTGCTCCTGCTCCACCGCCAGCGAGATGCGGAGACGATTCACCTTGAATGTGCAGACATGATGACATCATCAGCATCCACCTGACCAATCAAAACATTAAAACTCTTCTTCTGTGGTGATCTCACCTGGTCCTCCAGCTCCCTCACGGTGCGGTCCACGTCAGCGGTGTTCTCAGATGACTGAACACACACCACCACACACACCTGTTAATCACACGGAGTCGCAGCTGCTTACCTGAGAAGCCTCGTCACACAGACTCACCTGTCTCGCCTGAGTCCTGGAGCTGAGAGAAAGCTGCTGCTGGAGCCTCGATCGTTCCTCCTCCACCTGACAGACAAAAGGCCCACAAATTTACAAAAACCACAAAACACATCAAAGCAGGACTTTTAGTATCTGTGTTTGTGAAACTGTGGTTGGAAGTTTCCATCCACTCATCACAGACATGAACCGCCGCCCTCAAACGACAGGAAACTGGTCAGGAGCTACAGGAACAACATTCCAGCCTGCTGTGAGCTGCTCACCAGTCAGTCTCTTCAGGAAGTTGCAATCGCAACTATTAATGAAAATTCACTCATCACTGACTGCAACTTTTTAAAAAAGGTCCAGTAAAATCTGTAACTTTAGGCCTGGAGGGGGTGACAATTTCAACACCAGTTATTAATGTCTCCAAAAAATAAACAAAAAAAGGAAATATTGTGATGTCGAAATTAAACTTACTAAAAGACATTTAAAAAATATTAGAGTGGGTTTATATATGAACTGAAGCCTGTATGTATTAAATTAACTCCAGAATAAATGCACCCTTGTGCCTCAATTTCAGTTTACATTCCTAGAATGGAAAACCAAGAGCTCCATTAAGAGCCCTGGGTTAAAGTGCTAATGGTGGAGATGAGGGTGGGCACCTGTTTCAACGTGTCTTTGAGAACACTTCTGTCTTTCTTCAGCTTGTCTTTCAGGCTTTCCAGACGGGAATTCTTCTTGTCCATCCGTTTTTGGTTCAGCTCCAGTTCAGCCACCTGGTGCTGCAGGATCAACAGTCTGTCACTCTGAGGACACACATTTCTCTCAAGGTCAATCAGGACAGCCAGGTGTAAGCGTGTAACGACAGAGGTCACCTGCCCTTAACCCAACCAATCAGACGCTGCACTGACCTCCTCTGACTGAGGAACCGCCCCGGGGTTCTGCTCCTGTTGGTGCACTCTCTCCCTGTAGCCAATCATGGCTGACTCTGTCCGCTCCAGGGCCATTCGGACCCGGTCCCTGTCTGCCTCCAGCTGCTTGTTGCTCTGAGTCAGTATGTAGAGCTGATTCTTCTGCTCCTCTGTCAAGGCTTTGCACTTGTTCAGCTCGGTTTGGCTCTCTTGCACCTCCATTCTTGCTTTCTCTACCTCCATCTCCTTCTTTTCCACCCTGGACCTCCACTCTGTCTCCACCTCCTCCTGTTTCCTCCGCAGTATCTGGACTTCTGTATTGAGAGCGTTCAGCTTCACCATCTGCTCTTTCTCCACCTCTTCCACTCGACTCTTCCACTTCTTCTCAGCCTCCTTCCTCCTCTTCTCTGCGTTGTCCAGCTCCTCTAACATCTCACTTTTTCTCCTCTTCAGGCTCTTAACTTTGGCTCGCAGCTCCTCCAGCTCTCCTTGCTTATCCAGCTCCTCAATGGCCACCTTCTGACTCTCCTCTCTGATTCTGTCCATCTCCTTCTTCATCTCCATCAGGGCGGTCTTCAGCCGTTCCCCCTCAGTGTGGCTCTCCTACGCGAGGAGTCAAAGAGATAAACAGGGTTTCTGCAGGTTTCACAAACTCAAATTTAAGATTTTTTAAGACCATTGTGAATGAAATGTAAGACTTGTACCTCTATAGAAATGTACGAACTTTGTCAATAAGTTTGCACTGAAAAAGATGGAAAAAGCTAGCTAGTTAGCTATGTAAAAAATACATAGACTATCTATTTAAATATTTGTGTTAAGGCATAATTTAAGACGTGATTAAAATAATAAGGCTAACTTACTTTTCAAAAATGAACTTAATCCATTTAAAGGTATTCATTTTAGGTAAATAAATGATAGACTTTTTAAGGATTCACAGACAGGTCAAACATGATGACCTTAGACTGTCACCCTGTCCAGCAGGAGTCACTGTACCTTCAGGAGAACCTCCAGCTGGGACATCTCCTTCAGGGCCACCCTAAGCCCATCCTTCAGCTCCTGGTTCTGCTCCTCCTTCTCCTTCAACTCCTTCTGAGCTTGTTGCTGGCTCAGGCTCAGATTCCACATCTGAAACAGAAACCAGAGTATCACAAGCCTGGCAGGCCGCCTGGCTTGGCTTGGCTCCCACCAGGCTTAACGTTGCTTGTTGATTCATTTTAAATAGGTTTTTTTTAATACACCAGTAACAGTGGTGACAAAGATGGGTTTGTTGATACATTGAAAATAGCAGAAGCCGGGGCTGTGCACCTGTCCCAGGTGGCCGCCTTTCACTCAAACTGTGTGATTTGAAAGGTGATCTTGCAGAGCAGGTTCACCTCTACCGTCAAAGTAAGTATCAAGTACAAAAGCTCAACACAAATTGTGAACATAGTTGTGTTTTTAAAGGTTTGTGTTAAGTGTTCAGTGAGAATATGAGCGCATGTATCTTTGTGAATGAAGAATGATGTGTGGTGTGTGCATTTATGTTTCACATGCTCGCTCAATAAGTGCTTGGGTCTGTGTCTGCACTGCAACTTCATAAAGTTGATGTAAATGAACCACATCATTTACATCAACAGGCCTTTTCATTCCGTGTTTTTTGTAAATACTGCATTGGTTTGGATAAATAACAACCAATCTCAACCAGTAAATCAAAATCCTGTATGCAGCAGCATACTAAAAAAAAGAAAATACTTCATACAAAAAAATACAGTGAATATTTTATCCTAAGAAAATTTTGTTAAGCATATAAATACTTATCATTACCCATTTTAGATTTTTTGTTACTTGTTTAAATGTGACCAAAGCTGGTCCGGTGTTGTACGGTGCCTTGAGCAGAACATGATTTAAAGCCCTTCTTCCTGTTAAGAAAATCACCACCACTAACACTTTCACTGCAGATTTGGTGGAATCTGGGACATGGAGGCATGTTTGAAAATGGGCTGCACAGTTGGTAGAGCTGTTGCCTTGCAGCAAGTAGGTCCTGGATCTTTCTGCATGGAGTTTGCATGTTCTCCCTGTGCATGGTGGGTTCTTTCCGGGTACTCCGGCTTCCTCCCACAGTCCAAAAACATGACTGTCAGGTTAAATGGTTTCTCTAAATTGTCCCTAGGTGTGAGTGTGTGTGTGTTCATGGTTGTTTGTCTGGCGACTGGCGACCTGTCCAGGGTGACCCCGCCTCTCGCCCGGAACGTTAGCTGGAGAGGCACCAGCACCTCCTGACCTCACTAAGGGACAAGGGTGTTAGACAATGGATGGATAGATGAAAAATTGTGATGTGTTCAATAGTTTTTTGACGCGTCATAGTTTTATAAGGTGAACCATTTTGGGACCTAAAGGTAAATACTGTAAAGTTGATTGATGTTCCGTTAAAGATCCACTTGCTGATTATTTAATTGTGATTTAACTTTAGGGGAAAAAAAAAAAATTATTTTAATTGAATTTTTGTGTTTGCCTTTGTTAAGACTAAGTTGTATGTTGCGCATACTCTACTGTAGTTATCTCGTCATATTTTAAAATTTCCTTTTAACTTTTATCATTTTTTAACTTAAAAACATGGCGGACCGCCCAGCGCCCCGACCACCAGACTTAGCTAGAAACCCTGAATGGATTTCACCTCCTCAGCATCTCCTCCTCCTCCCTGGGTTGTTTGTGTACCTGACTCCGCAGGGAGCTCAGGCTCTCCTCCTTCACCTCCACGTTCTGCTGAACACCTCTCAATTCCTCCTGCGCCTCCTCCCTCCCCTGGCGCTCCTTCTTTGCTTCCTCTTTAAGATCCGAGACGTCTTCTCTACTTTTCTTCAGCTTCTCTTGCATCTCCAGCTTCTCCTGCTGCTCCTTCTGGAGCTCCTCTTTGAGCAGTGACACCTCCTCTTCACTCCTCCTGTGGGCCTCCTTTACAGTCCCCACCTCCATCTCTGTCCTTGTTAACTTCTCCTTCATCTGCTCCTTCTCTTTTTTCACCTCCTCAGTGAGCAGTTTTAATGCATCCTTGGTTGTCCTAACCTCTTCCTCCACCTCCTCCTTCCTCTTCATCAGTTCATCTCGGATTTTCTCCCCCTCCTGGAGTTCCTTCACCAGCTCCTCTTTGAGTTCAGACACCTCCTTCTCAAATATTCGGAGCTTCTCCTGCTTCTCCTCCTTTTCCTTCTGCTCTCTAATCACCTCCTCTCTGAGAATTGTCACCTCCTCCTCAAACGTCCTCAATTTCTCCTGATTTTCTCTTTGCTCCTTATTCATCTCGTCTCTTAGTGCAGACACCTCCCTTTTGCTACTTATCAGCTCCTCCAGTACCTCCTCCATCTGCCTCCTCTCCGCCTGCGCTATTTGGTTGATCACCAGCTCCTTTGACATCCACTCCTCCTCCCTCCTTCTAAGCTCCTCCCGCGCTGCTTCATGGGCCGCCTCCTGCTCTTTTTGCTTTCTTTGAATCTCCTCTCTGAAATTCTTATCAATCTCCTCCATCAGTCTCCTCTCCTCCTTTTCTCGTCTCCTCTCCCTCTGCATCTCCTCTCTGAGAGCGGCCATATCCTTTTCAAAGCTCCTCAGCTGCTCCTGCTTCTCCTCCTTTTCTCTTTCCTCCTTATACAGGTCTTCTCTCAGTTTAGACACCTCCCTTTTACTCTTAATCAGCTCCTCTTGGAGCTTCTCCATGTGTCTCTCCTCCTCCTGTGCCTTCATGATACTCATCAGCTCCTTTGACCTCCACTCCTCCTCTCTTGATCTCAGCTCCTCCTCCTTCTCTATTTGCTTTCTTTGGACCTCCTCTCTGAGCTCAGATAGCTCCTCTGTCTTCCTCTGCACCTCCTCTGTAAGACCTGTCACCTCCATCTCCTTACTCTGTAGCTCCACCAGCAGTCCTGCCTTCTCCTCCTCCAGCTCTATCAGTCTGGATCTCCTCCTCTCTGCCTCCAGATGAAGCTCTTTCTCAGCTAACAGTTGCTCCTTTTGCTCCTCTTTCACCTCCCTCAGTTCCTCCTCCAGTCTTCTCAGTTTCTCCTCTTTCATTCTTAGAACATTACTCTGTTCCTCCATTTCTTTTAGCTTCCCTTCTTGCTCCTTCGCCTCCTTCTCCTTTGCTTCCAGTCTGTCCTCTATCCTCCTCCTCGCCTCCCTCACTGTGTTCAGCACCTCCTTCTCTTTCTCCAGTTGCTGCACCACTTCCTTCACCTTCTCCTCATTCCTCCTGCTCTTCTCCTCCTCAATCCTTCTACACCTCTCCCCCTCTCTCACCTCCTCCTCCCTCTCCTCCAGTGTTGCCCTCAGCTGCTTCACCTCCTCTACTCTATCTTTAACAACTTTGTTGAGTTTTTTCTGCTCCTTTAAACTCATGTCTGCCTTCTCCTTCCACTCCCTCACCTCCTCCTCCTTCTCCTCCAGCGCTGCCTTCATCTGCTGCACCTCCTCTTGTCGCTCCTTGATGACCCTGTAGAGCTTTCTCTCGTCCTTGGAGCTCGCCTCTGCCTTCTCCTTCCACTCCTCCTCTCTCTCCTCTAGCGTGACCGTCAGCTCCTGCACCACCTCTTGTAGCTCCTTATTGATCTTCTGCAGCTTTTTCACCTCCTTATCACTGTGCTCTGCTGTCTGCTGCCACCTCCTCAGCTCCTCCTGCAGCCTCTCGCAGACCTCCTCCTTCTCTCTGACCTTCTTATTTGCTCCCTCTTTATTGGCCTGAGCCTCCTTCAGCTCCTTGCTGTGGGAGGAGATCATTTTCTCTTTTTCTCCTTTCTCCTTCTCGAGGAGTGCCTGAGTTTCTATCAGCAGAGCCCCCAACTGCTCCTCCTGCACCTCTTTCTCTTTCAGTTTGTGACAGACCGCCTGCCGCTCCCGTTCTCCTTCCTCCTTCTCCTTCTCAGTCTGCCTCAGGCTCTCCTTCAGCACCTCCACCTCCTCCTGTGTGGCCCTCAGCTGCTTCACCTCCTCTGCTCTCTCCTTAACTATCTTGTTGAGTTTTTTCTCCTCCTTCCCACTCAGCTCTGCCTTCTCCTTCCACTCCCTCACCTCCTCCTCCTTCTCCTCCAGTGCAGCCTTTAGCTGTTGCACCTCCTCTTGTTGCTCTTTCATGACCTTGTTGAGCTTTTTCTCCTCTTTCACCCTCACATTTCCCTTCTCCTTCCACTCCTCCTCTCTCTCCTCTAACACTCCTGTCAGCTTCTGCACCGCCTCTTGTAGCTCATTATTGATTTTCTGGAGCTTTTTCACCTCCTTATCACGGTGCTCTAATGTCTGCTCCCACATCCTGACCTCCTCCTGCAGCTGCTCACAGACCTCCTCCTTCTCTCTGACCCTCTTATTTGCTCCCTCTCTCTCAGCCTGAGCCTCCTGCAGCTCCTTGCCCAGGAAGGTTATCGTTTTCTCTTTTTCTCCTCTTTCTTGCTTCTCCTTTTCGAGGAGTGCCTGAGTCTCTGTCAGCAGAGCCTCCAGTTGCTCCTCCTGCGCCTCCTTCTGCTTCAGTTTGTGGCAGACTGCCTGCCGCTCCCGTTCTCCTTCTTCCTTCTGCTCCTCAGTCAGCCTCAGGCTCTCCTTCAACTCCTCCACCTCCTCCTCTCGGTCCCTGACGGCACTGATCTGTCGCTCCAGGCCGCGCTCCCTCTTCTCCACCTCCTCCTTCATCTCTTCATACTCCTCCTGAGCCACGTTCAGCCTCACCTTCAGGAGCTCCACCTCCCCTACTTTCTCTTTCAGCTGCTCCTCCAGCTCCTCCTTCTCCTCCTGCTGTTTCTCCCTCCGTCTCCTCTCCTCCCCCTGTAAAAAGGAGATTTCTTTTCTCAGCCTGCTGATTTCCTCATCCGCCACAGCTCTCTCTCTCTGCCTCTCCTCCTCCTCACTCCTCAGCTGACAGAGCTCTTCCTCCATTGTTTTCTTTTCTGTTTCCAGCTTCTCGATCCGTTCGCACAGAGCCTCCGTCTCTAAATCCCTCTGGTTCTCCTCCTCTCTCCTCTTCACCTCCTCCTCTTCTAGACTGACCTCTTTCCTCTTCGCTTGCTCCTCCAGTTTGTCCTTCTCTACCTCGACTCTCTGCAGTCTCTCCATCGTGAAGCTGATCTCAGTCTCTCCCTCTGCCACCTCCTCCCTCAGTTTCTCCACCTCTCTCTGCCTCTCCTCCACCTCCTTCATCAGTCCCTCGGCGCGCCTCCTCAGGGCCTCCACCTCTCCATCTCTCATGCCGAGCTCTTTGTTCAGAACTTCTCTTTCTTTCTGCCACGACTCCTCTTCCTCCTTCCTCTTGGCGTCTTCCTCCGTCCACCTGGTCTGCAGCTCCTTCACCTCCTCCGTCAGCCTCTCCATTTCTACATTCAACTCTCTCTTTTCCTCCAACATTCTTTCCCTTTTCTCCCTCTCATCTTCTCTTCTTGCCGTCTCTCGCTGCAGTTCTCCTCTCAGACACTCGATCTCACCTTCAGACAGACAGAAACATTAAATCACAACCAGACTTCTTTCTGTTTTCCTCTCTGAAACTTTCTAAATAAATCTACAGGAGGAGTTTCAATTTCTTTCTCTCTCACTTGAACAGATTCCTTACTTTTGATTTTCAGCAGATTGATTCGAAACAGATTCTTTATTCCAGAAGTCTTCAACGTTGGGGTCGTGACCCGAGTCAGCAAAATGCCATGAAGTTCCTAACAACCGGCACAGCTGGCCCCAATGTTGAAGACCTTTAACTGCTTTTTTTAATCCAGTTTCAGTTTTTGTTCCTGGCCGTTGATTAGACCTTTGACCTGTGACCTCTGACCCATGTGATGAACCAGTGACAGCAGTGCTCTCTCTGACTGACCCTGTAAGATGGCTTTGGCCTGCTGCAGCGTACAGATGTGTGTGTTCTGCTGACATCTGTCCACCTCAGACTGGGAGAGCTGCTGCTGCTGCAGGCGGAGCTTCAGGTGGAGGTTCACCGACACGGACCTGCAGGAGGAGCAGAGGAGCTGTGGTCAGACACTCCTGTTAGGAAGAGGAGGAGGAGGAGGCTGACGTCAGGTGTGTTCACTACCTCAGCTCCTGTAACTCCTCTTCCAGCTGCTCCTTGTATCTCCTCTGAACTTCCTGTTCCTCCTGCAGCTTCTTGCTTTCTCTCAGCAGCTCCTCCTTCTGTCTCTCCGTCTGATTCAGCTGCTCCTCGGTCTTCCACAGCTGTTCCTGCAGCTCCTTTAGCACCTTACGTACCAGGGTGTGCTGGGAGGATAACTGAGGAGCACAGAGGAGGCGTCAAACACGATGCAGGTCAACATGAGTCACATCAGCGTGGGGCTTTGAGACATGGCTTAAAAATAAAATCTGATTCAATTTTCTCATTTTAATCGATATTTATTTTTCTCACTTTCTCTTCTGAAAAAAAAAATACAAATACGCGAAAATATTTTCAGAAAGTGGATGTTGTTTTAAAAAATGTTTTGAGTTGCCTGACAGCATATTAGGGCCAGGATGAGAGGATTTTAGTTTAATTATGAAAATTTAATAATTTTACTAGCAAATAAAGACACAGTTTTACCTGAATAAACATCTTAAAGTTACAAGAAAAAAGCTGTTTTAATAAGAAAAAAGTTAACATTGCGACCACCTCAACCTGTGTGTTTCTGTCTTATAAAAACATACAAGGTTGTTTCAAAATCTTCCTAATGATAATCAATTGTTATAAAGTGTTAATTAAGTATTTTTAAGTATAATGGCAAAAGATGCTCAACATTCTTCCTTTATTTTTTCTGTCATAATTCTCATAAGATTACTACTTTTTTTCTCCAAATATTACAATTTAATTCTTGTAATTAAAACAATCTTAGCCTGAAACTAATATTGTGTTGTAGAGTTGACCTGAGTTCAAACTCCAAATAAATACAAGTGTAAAATATGCATGTCAAACAAGATGAAATCACTCTGAACTATGGAAACCCAAGGAGTGAATTGGTGAAAAAAATCCCAAAATTTCAAAAGTTAAATCTACCAAACTAAGAATAGAATGAAATTGATTTAATGGATGACTCTCCAGCCCTACATCAGCCTGGTTTCCTGTTTACCTCGTCCAGCTGCTGATCTGTGGTCTTCTTCTCCTCCTCCAGGGAGGCCAGCTCCTTCTCCTTCTCCTCCAAGTTTCTCTCCAGGTGTGAGCGTCGCTCCTTCAGCTGATGGATGACGTCAGCGTCCGTCTCCGACTGAACTCTGAAGAGATTTGATTGGTCGGACCAAAACACTAAGGGTGGAGGTTCCTCTCCAGGACTTGAGACTCACCTCAGGAGGCTGCACTCACTCCTCACACTTTTAATGTCTCTCTGCAGACCGCTGACCTCTGACCTCAGAGTCTGCAGCTGTGACTGGGTGTCTGACAGCTCTGTCTCCAGCTGAAACAAACATGACCAGAGAGATGTGGTGAAGCTACGGGAAGCTGCCCTGGAGCCTCTGAGCCAGGCAGCAGAGAGTTTTACCTTCAGCAGCTGCATGTTCAGATCTCGTTTGTCTGTGGCCAGAGACGAGTTCAGAGCCGACATCTTGTCCAGGGCGTCCCGCGTCTCCTGCACCTCCCGTTTCAGCAACGTCTCTGAGGAGGAGAGGTGCAGCACGGACTCCCTGCACTGAGCAGAGAGCGCCAGCAGGGGGCGACAGAGAGCGGCACCACCAGTAAACACAGGGTTAAAATGAACAGCTGACTTCCACTGAACACTCAGGGACATTCAAACCTTCTGCAGGGCTTCTCTGGCATCAGCACCTTCTTCTTCTGCTCTCTGCCTGTCCAGCTGCTCCCTCTCCAGCATCACCTGCAGGTTGACCAGCAGCTATTTGTTACTATCCTGCAGATGTGAGTTCTCTGGGTAATAAAACTGGAAGCAGAGTTTCTACCTTCAGGCTGTGGATCTCAATCCGCTGCTGAGTTTCTCTCTCTGACAGCTGGACATTCTCCAGAAGCTCCGCCTCCACCCTGCAGCAAAGAGAGCAGCTGTAAAACCCGAAAGGACAGCAGAACGAGGGCTGGGGCATAAACCAATTTTAACAATTAAACCAAAATTTTAGTTTTTGAAGATTGGAACTGTTTTCACAGATGCACTCCTTGGGTCTCTGTAGTTCAGAGTGATGTCAGCAAACTCAGGGTGGCCATCTTGTTTGACAAATGTGTTTTACAGTTTCTATTTATGAACTCTACGACGAAGTATAAGGATCAGGCTAATTCTCTTAATTACGAGAATAAAGTCATAATATTACAAGAATACAATTGAAATATTAGGAGAATTAAGTACAAACCGGATTCCAAAAAAGTTGGGACACTAAACAAATTGTGAATAAAAACTGAATGCAATGATGTGGAGATGGCAAATGTCAATATTTTATTCGTAATAGAAGATAGATGGCAGATCAAAAGTTTAATCTGCGTAAATGTAACATTTTAAAGGAAAAATATGTTGATTCAAAATTTCAGTGTCTACAAATCCCTAAAAAGTTTGGACAGGTAGCAATAAGTGGCTGGAAAAAGGAAATTGAACACAAACAGCTGGAAGACCAATTAACACTAATTAGGTCAATTGACAACATGATTGGGTATAAAAAGAGCTTCTTAGAGCAGTGTTTTTCAACCTTTTTTGAGCCAAGGTACACTGTTTTAATTGAAAAAATCTTGAGATCGGAAGAGC